GGTGGACTAACATCACATATATCCCATAATCATACAAGGAAATGGTGTTTTGCACCAGTTAGTTATAGTGTACAAGTTATAGGGTGTATTAATTCTTGGGATTAGATGTGAAGTTTTGAATTTTAATTTCCTTATCCCTTTGTATTTTTCAAATCTCACTCTTTTCCTACTTTCAAAAACTGTTTGGATTAACTGTTTTTGTGAGTATTTTTGAAAAATTTTGCTGTAACAGAGTTTTTATAGTATATTTTGAAATATTTTTAGAAAATACTTTGGAATATTTAAGAATAGAAAAGTTTTTAAAATATATTTTGAAATATTTTTAAACATTAAAAAAAATTTAGACTATTTTTTAAAATATCTTTTAGAGTAACTTTTAAAAATTTTAATAATATTTGAAAAATTAGTTTTTGAAAAACTCAGCAATCCGAAGTGAGCCAATATATTATAGGATGTACTAAGATCACATGCCACATACCACGCTCATGAATTGCACAGGTTACAGGGTGTACCAACATACATATGTAACGTAATCATATAAGAAAGTGGTGTATTCCTTTGCCAACCCTCTATTAATTATAAGTTCAATTTTTATATTGCATATGTATTGACAATCCGCCATCTTCCCCGCTCACAATCTCACTATACCCGAAACCAAGAATTTCTTCATTCGAAGCTTATAATTGCATGCGAAAATTATAATTGCAAGAGGGACACAAATAAGAATGAAGGAATACATTCCTTACCTCAAATTTGGATGCAAGATCTACTCTTGAAATCTGTAGATTAATCAACCTTATGCTTTTTAAATTGGATTTGGCATCCACCAATTTAAAGTTTAAACTTTGCAGCAGCTTCTTGAACAAATCCACTAATTGGTTTCTTGTGCAAACTTCTTCTCACCTTCTTTCTTTTTTTCATCTCCAACTTCCTGTTAATTTTTGGTTTCACTTTCTTCTTCCACTGTTACACTCACCAATTGAAAGTGAAAATGAGAACAAGACATATATTTCGTGCGATTTGAAGTTCAAATTTTCTCTCATACTTTCTGAAAATTTTTAGCACCAATGGCATTTCTTCTGATCTGATTGCGAACCGGTGGGAAATTGCAACTTTCGAGACTCAGTACGATGTGAAAGTGGGGCCCAACTTATTTATATTCTTCGTTGATATTGAACCAGCTAGAACTAGATTTGTACTGTATTGGAATTCGCTATGCAATGATACTTAATTAATCAGGCCCAAAAAAAAAGGTTAATAACAGAAACAAAAAAAAAAAAAAAAAAAAAAATTGGTCTTGCTCTCAACACAGTCTTTGCTTTCCTAAAAGTTTTTTTTTAAAGAAAATGATTATAGAATGCTCTCTTTGTGCATACTTAGGAAAATTCCAATTGTTGTATAACAAGCTTTTAATTATAAAAGTTATTTTTGTTTCGATTGGCAAAATGACTTAATAGTCAAATAAATAAAAGTTTATTCCTGACAAATGAATAGTTGGCTAACGAGCATCCATTGAATATTCGAGGTTCAGATGTTACTTTTTTAGAAAAGTGTCACAATTCACAGATGTAATTCATGTGAATGTACATATTTATTTAGTAAATTAGGTGTTTTAATTAGGAATGGACACTTATTAGAAAATTCTACAAATGAAAATAAATGCTGACTGATTTCAGCTATTACCTGAATCGATGCTTTCTATTCAAAATAAACATATCAGTGTAACAAAAATTTTACTGTAATCTTTTTTTTTTTTTGTTTGGAAGAAGTTCAAAAATCAACAACACAAGCCCACTGAAGTTGGAATTGTTCTAAAGTCCAGTGGCGATTGATTAAAGGAAATGAAATTCAAACACCCGTATTGATATCCATAACTTCACTATCTTAAATGGCAAGCGATATTTTCAGAGTAATTATCTTCCTGTCGGAACCCATTTTATTCAAATGCGAAGGTTATCTTCAATCAATCAACTTTATATATATTCATTGATTTTTCTAGGATCCATTATATATTAATTACTCCTATTTTCTCTCTCTTAGTAGGTATTTTCTTCTAGGGTATCTCACTCTTCTTCCTATTATTCTCATTTCGCTCTTTCTTACTCACACACTAATAGATCTATTATTTTATAATTAAATAACATAGTTTTTGCCTTAATCTTTTCTTGAATCTTTTTGGTTCTATGTGCTCTTGCTTTTTTATTCAGTTCCAAAACTTTTATTTATTCATTTATTTGTTTTTTGAAAATAGAACTTCATTAACTCCAACAAATTTCAGTTTAAAATAATGATTATTATGTTGCCATTGTAACTCAATATTTTAGCATAGAAATTTTTTTTGACATGCAACATGCATTTTTCCTCTGAATTCTGCTTGTTTGTCATGCCTCTAAATAACTAATGTTGTTAAAACTTTACCAACTTTTTCTCTTTTATATTTGTCATGCAAATCTTGACTTTTATCTTTTATCAAATATTCATATTTATCATGTAAGACTTTACCAATTCAGTAAATAATGAAAATAATTGATGATTTAATGTGTGTGTGTGTGTGTGTTTGTGAGAGAGAGGGAGAGAGAGAGAAGAATGTGAGTGAGTAGAAAAAACTTTAATTGTAGAGGGAAGAAGAGGGGTAATTAGAGTTTAATGAAAAATAAAATGATAAAGTGATAAATGGTATTTGAATATCAAATACAGGTGTATAAATATCAATACCCTTTAAGATAATTGCTCCTATAGAATCTTAAGAAGTTAAATTCCCTTTTCTGTTTTTATTTCAAAAGACACTTTAAGAGAAAGGGGAGCGTTTAAGAGCCTAATCAGAAATCTCATGATCACTTTGGGCTAGTATTTCTACTAGTTGGGTTGAGTTTTGAAGATAAGAAAATCTCCATTTCATTGAATGGCTTTCGGAGATCATTTTGTATTATACGAAAGGAGCAAATAGTTCATCATCCACTCAAAACGTTGTATATATGTTTAGCAAACATAATGTATTCACATCATCATTTTCACAATTTCACTGGAAATATGTGGACTTCGACTTGCTACTTGCTTTACATATTTCAAAGCTCAGTATCAATTAGCCCATTTTGGGGGTCTTGGACAAACACTTAGAGCCCATTTGGCTTACAAATTTTTGGAGTTTTTGAATATATATATATTGTATTGATACTATATATGTAAGATAAAAAAATGATAGAGAAATATGTTAGCGGAATTTTATGCAAAAACTCGCAATCTAATTAAGGACTTGAACTTTCAAAGTAATTTGACATTTGTGTCTGTATATAGCGATATTTGTCTCTTTCAAAGTCAATCTACAAGCCACGGATGCTACTCCAACAGAAAAAGAGTAATAAGACCAAGGGTACTTAGTCATCAAAAAAAGAAAGACCAAGGGTGCTTAGGTGACTCTTCAAGCAACCAAATAGTCTTCGTGTTGCTTCTCTACCCCTGAACTCCAACACACCCGTACCTTCTCCTTCTCCACCTCCTTTTCTTCTTCCTTTTCTTCTTTGCCCTTCTCTGGAAACAAGCACAACTTCATCTTCTTCTTAATCCTTTTTTCTTCCTTTTTTTCTTATCCCTTCTCTGGAAACAAGCACAACTAAAAAAATCCAGAAAAGATAGGACAAAAATATAATAGTAGAACTAAATTCCAACCAAGATTATACAACTACAATTCTGAATTTGAAATTTTGATTGCAAGATCTCCAATTTCAAACCCAATTGTTTATCTTGGTGGTCCAAATCCTTATCAGCAATGTCCAGGTTCCCACACTCTTCGATGGAAACTGGGCAGATTTAAAAATATTAAATAATTTTTCAAGACTATGCCTAGTGATATTTCTCAAATTTTATGCTATAAAATGTCTTTAATTATTGGATATACAATATCATTTTTGCTAAACATACTTCTCATAATTCTTGTTTTCCCTTTTTTTTCCCTTTTTACAAGAAAAGACGTGTAGCCCAAAGTTCTCCAATCTGATGTAAAAAAATAAATACTATTCATTGAGGTGTTTATTGAACACTAATTTCTGCGATATTTTCATATACTAATATTAGTGACTAAAATGCTCATCAAATTCTTTATTAAGATTAAGCCCCCTTTGAGACGTTTGAGACGTTAATAGACAGTAAATGCACCCTTGCATCAATGATTCTCGATTTCTTTCCCATTCCATTCTCCTTTTTCGTTTTTCTTTAATTTCTCTTCTTTCATGCCAAAGCTTGTACCCTTTTAATCTTAAAAGTCCATAACGAAGAATAGAATTGTATGTTTAAGTTCAATGTCTCCAATCTCTATTGTTCACTGTCAATAATGGATGAATCATGCTTACATGAAGAGGTCTAATAATCATGCTTATTTTTAAATAATTCTTGTTCTATTTAATGATGCAATTATAACTAATCACCTTATGTCAATTACCTTAAATTCTTAGTGTACTCCTTTTACTTTTGTTTTAGCCTGTTTACATCCTAAAATTATTGAAATATCCCAAATCAGCCCATTGGCTAATGTTGCAGGAGATGATTTTTTCAAAAAAAAAAAAAAATCATGCACATCCACTCATTTAAATATTCTCAAGCATTGATAGCAGCTTTCAACAGTGTGACGGGAGTTTGGAATGATGCGTAGAAGAACATAGTCCTTATTTCTTCATTAATACTGAACAAGATCATGGTATTGAGTTGAATTGGCAAATTTAAGGTGCTAAAATTTTCAAACCGAAGGTTGAAGCTCGATGTGGTAATAATTTTTAATTTTAGAGCTCACAATGTACAAAATACAGGTTAAAGATGAAAATTGAGAATTGTAGAAATATTAAGGTGCAAAAGGGTAATTACAGAATTAGTCCTATACCATATACCTAACTAAATGTAATGTTCAAGTACATGAATTGATCCCATGAAACAATTTGTTTTTTCACCTTCACATTTCTTGCTTTTATTAGCAGGATGGAATTTAAAAAATAGGTAGAGAGAAGCGGGACTTAAATTCTGAACATCTAATTTTTAGATTCTCAATATTGACTGCTGCACCAAATTAAGCTTCTTTGGCCACTTTCACATTTCAATTTGTCATTGAAACAATTCACGTGAGACACAAAGCAATAATCCAAGAAGCAAAACAACATATTGAAGTATAACATAAGTTTCTAGCCGTGTGGCGAATGTAAGACATATCGCCTTGGAACATTTGATTTGCTTATTATTTTAGCATGGAATCTCTTCTATATTGTACGCCATATTGCTTGAAATGTGACCAATGTAGAGAATCATGGCCTCCGCAACAGTGCAACTTTGAACCACGCCTTCATCATTTAAGAAGATGGGAAATATATTAATTTCCATCCCGAATTACCCAGCCAAAATAGAAAAAGGATCTGCATGTTAAATATCAAAATCATAGTTCATAAGTTACAGCTCGTACCAAAACTTGGATAAGCAAATAATATACTCCTTGAATTGCTATTTGTACATTGTGATTATGCCAAAAAAATTTGGTAGAAGAATGTAAATAACATTATACCCAAGGCAATAACTATTTATCACAACAAAAAGAAACCAGACTGCAGAAAATTCATTTTGCGTTCAATTAGGACTAAGTGAAGGGAGTGCATATTACATATATATATATATATATGAAAGTGAAGCTTGTAGAGCTTCTTTTCTTCAATTAGGACTAAGTGAAGGGAGTGCATATTACTTGCATATATACCAGACCAAGTCGCCAATGACGGGTTGGAAAAATAGTAAAGAAGCTCTACGAGCTTCACTTTCATATATATATATATGTGTGTGAGTGCACGCGCGTCAACAATGGATTGTTGTAATTTTCCATACGACCTATGTAAATTCCAAAAAAAAAACAACTCTAAAATAATCGTGTTGCTGCAACCATTCATGGAGCACAAATTTTACTGTGGATTAGTAGAGAAAACTACTATCATGTGAACTTTATAGTGTAACGTGAAATTCTTAAAAATTCATATGAGATCGAACAATTTATTTGTAAAATGATTACTCTGAAAACTTTAAATTTTGTAAAGGGTACCAAAAGAAGGGAAGAACATTTGTGATCTCGGGTGAAGTGGCCTCTCACCATTCCTAGGTCCATCCACAGCTACAACCAAATTTGCTAAGAATATGTCAATTGCCCAGAAGAACCAACGATTTAATCATACTCAACTAAACTCAAATATAAACTGCGTGTACGAGATTTGCTTTAAAATAAATGAACTGAAAAATGAACTCAGAATGGGTTAAACTTGACTGCAAGAAATGTGTGGTGACAAACTTTGGATAAAGGAGGTTAGATTTCTACCCGGCGGGGGGGGGGGGGGGGGGGAGGTTAGATGGTGTGACAGAAATGCAATATTTTCAGTTACTCTGTGACAGTTTTACCTATATATCTTCCCACAAAGAAATAATGATGTACAGAGAAAAGAAGGAAACAAGAAGAAGAAGAAGAAAGGAAACATATAGCTGCAGCCGGTTTTTCTGGCCATCTTCGTGCCCTTATAAAAGCAACTATGGGTGTCAGTGGTGCAAGGAGGACGCCGAGGAGTGCTCCTAAGGTAGACACCTCGGCTGTCCTCTCCTTGCACCACCAACAACCATGTTGCACAGATCACACGATTGTGCTAATTTGCATTGAACTTCAATGAGTTCAACTCATGTTTTTTTGTTGCCTAAAGTTACACTGCATTTGCCCTTATATAGAGCTGCCCGCCTTCAGGGCTACTAACATCTGAATGTTAAAATATGCTTTTTTTTTTCTTTCTTTATTCTCTGATTTCACTGATGTGATTTTTTGGGTGCTAGTTGGAGAATCCGAGTCGCTTTCATCAGCAGAATATTATGCAATGCTTTAAAAAAGATTCCAATGTAGATTTTTAAAAGTTTGTGATCAAAATGTTTATAGTGGTCTGCGTCAGACCGATACACCAGTCACTTTACATTTGCCGAATCTGGATACAGTATCAACTAGGGGACTAATCTTGTTAGGTTATGCCTTTTTTAACTTTTTTTTTCTCAAAAAAAAGTCTAAATTAAAAGAGAACCACTCCCTCCATTCTGCTAATGTTAATTGTCACCATTGTAGGTTTTTGATCAATAAAACTTAAATGTAATAAATGAATTTCATGTTGTTTTCTCTTAAAAATTTTTTGATGGTATGATTGCAAAATACTACTAGTATCAAGTTTTCACAGAAAATATGGGCCTGCTTGGAAGTATGTTTTTTAGACCTGTTTTTATTAGACAAGTTTTTTCTACAACTTTATTTGTAATAATAACTCCTAAAAAAATTCAAAAAATTTTAAACTATACACTCCAAGATACCCAAAAATAAATAATTTTTTTTCTTCTTTCCTTTCTTCTTCTTCATCCTCCCCCATCTCAGACCACCATCATTGCTTGCACCTCTGCTGAAGCCGCTACCATCCCTCCTCCACTCATTTTTTTTCCCTTTCTTTCTCTCCCTCCTCCTCCTCCCTCTTTCCCCTTCTCCTCCCTCCCTCCCTCCTCCTTCTCTCCTCTCCCTCCTTCTCCTCTTCCCCCTTCCTTTGCCACCTCCTCTTCTAGCTTGCCTCACCTTGCCCCATCTACCCCTCTATCTCCCTCTCTCTCGTGCGATCAAATAGAGTGGCCTCTAGTGGCGCGACCAGGAGGCTTGGCCTTTGGTCGCTCGAGGGAGGGGGAGACAAATGAGGAGATGGGACTAGGTGAGAGATGTCGAGAGAGGGGGTGACATAGGGAGGAGGAGGAGGGGGAGAGGATAGGAGAGGAGAGGAGGAGCAGGAGGAGGGAGGGAGGGAGGAGAAGAGGAAATAAAAGAAAGAGAGGAGGAAAAAAGAAAAAAGGAAAGAGAGGAGGAAGGGCACCAGCCGGCGACCTGTTGATGGTAGTGTCGCCTGCTGGCAGTGGAGTGGAAGGGAGGAGGAAGAAGGGTCTAGTGTGAGGAGGTAGGAGAAGGGTGAAAAAAAAGTCAAAAAAAAAATGGAAAAGAAAAGAAAAAAAGGGAAAGTTTTTAATTTTCAAACCTAAATACATAAAAGTTTTTCTATTGATTTTACAGTGAACTACAATAAACTTTTATACAAACATCCAAAAAACACAACTTTCAAATGCACCCAATGATATAAAATGTAAAATTATTGAAAATTTGAAAAGTATACAAGACGAAAGTTAAAGGCTTTAACTGAGTTTCGCGGAATTCAGATGAGACTGACAATATTGGTGAGACTAAAAGAGAAGTATTTGGTAAAATGATGCTTGAAACTTGACAAGGTAATATGATATGTTGAAGATTACATATACCAAAAATTCTTTATAAAAGAAACTCTCTCCTCAATTACTTTTTGTAATCAAACGTTTGTCAGTTTAAATACTCTAAAAATGAAAACAAATTAACACGTGAACAGTACTTGACAGCATGTTTTCGAGAAAACCTAACTTGCTCATATTAAACAACTAATAACAAGCACAACTTTCCACTTTCTCAAGGCCTAGACTACTGGAGAAGAATGTGATTCTTTATAGTAATTGGTCTTTTAAAAAAGTTTGAAAAGAGAACAGCTACTTTCTCATTTGCTCGTCATTATCAAAAGGGGTATCTATGCTTTTCCAATGTCCTCCACTAAGCTTTTCATGTAATACCTTTGTCGAGCAGCCAATGGCCCAAAATAAAAGGGGACTAGATTCTTTGATTTCCTTTTTTTGGCCTTCGTTCAACGTTTATCAATTATCACCGTTGATAGACATATATCATGGTACTGATTATTTATAGAGGTCCTCAGAATTTTAGGGTTAGCGCTGCACGAATACTAATGTCGGATATCTTTTGGGCTAAAGTTAAAACAAATGATATCCATATATGCATGCATGGAATCATTTTATGCCATGTCTAGCTGTAGTCTTCTTTTAGAAATGTTTAGGATCAAATCCCCGTGGCTCTAAAGAAATGCAGCAGTTTTAGTCCTGCATATGTAGAACATTTGTCAATATTTAAAGCTGAAAATTAAGCAAGATTTAAACACGTCTTAAATGGACACAGAATGAGCAACCAGTTTTTAAGCAAACTCAACTGATTAAACTAATTTTGTATAGTTGGAGTTATTTTAACATTATCATATGATTAAATTCCGTGTCAATCTAGTTTCAAGTGCAACAAACGATTTGTATCTCCAATCCTCCTACATCAACTTATAGCTAAGTACCTAAGGTTGCACAGAGATCGCTGAGAGTTACTGTTGTTATATTTTTTAGTTTTATTTTAAAGCTTTACGTCGCTACAAAAAAGCCCTCAACATATACCATATCACAGTAAAACTCTCATTTTCACACCAACATTATCTCTTTTTTTAAGCACCTCTCATTACAGATAATTAGTCCTATGTCAGGTCGACGCAGGATGAGCATAACCAAATTCTAGGCAAATTTTATTTAATAAACTCCTTTAATCTAGTTGAAGATAGTGCAATATTTTCATATGATTTGAAAGCTTTGTTAATCTAATTTCAAACGTAACAACCGGTTAGTAGTGCCAACTTTCTCACACCAATCAATTACTGATTATATACGATCACAACCAATGATATGTGGACACAAAGCAGAACCAGATTTTAAGCAAATTTGACAGATTAAATTGCTTTTATATGGTTGGAGTTGGTGTAACATTTTGATATGGTTGGAAATTCATATGAACCTAATTTCAAGCGCAACAAATGGTTCATAAATTTTTAGGTTTTTATCTTTGTGAAATTTGAGATTTTGTAGATTTAGAATCTAGTTTCTCAGTTCTGCAATTTTTCTATTATTGTCAAATCTAAATTTTTCTTTGGACTTGAACTAGTTTTAATCAGATCTGATTGTCAGCAGATATGCACTGATGTATTGGGTTACAGTAACTCTTCTGGATAGAAGATATATAGGAGTATTATTGTTGTTTTTATTTGCCAGATAGAAGATATATAAGAGTATCAATGTTATCTTTGTTTGTATTGTTTTTTAGATCTGTTAATATCTATTGATTTCAGATCTATATGTATTTGTATCATCTTTGTTCGATGTATTTTCTGCCATTAGTATAGATTTGTTTGAATGAAATGATCTTTTCTATCCAAAAAGAAAAAATTGACTCTCCCACACTAACTAATATCTGATTAACTAAAATTGTGCAAAACACAATAAGATTTTTTTAACAAAATTGACTGAAAAACTGTTATTCTATAGTTGCAGCAGTGTAATATTTTCATATGATTGGAAAGCAACCATAAAACTAATTTGAAAAGAAACAAGCGATTCGTAATTTGGACTTTCGCATACCAACTTATATTATAGCTGATTATCTAAAGTCATTCGTCCAATGGTTTAGGCATGTAAAATTGTCAATGAAACATCCTGAAGTGAAATTGTCGATGGAACATAAAAGAGGTGTTACAAAAATGTAAATAAGAAGAAGGATATAATGAATTTGATCTTATTAAATTTCCTAATTCAAATATTTTAGAATTGTTTTTGTGCATCCGTCTCTCTTCCTTGAATTCTCCAATTAATGGTACTTCCAGCCTTGTAGAAATTGCTTCGTATCCCATGACTCCATTATTTTATATAGGAGCCAAAATCTCTGGGTATCCATTTCTCAGTAAATATCTTGGATGCCGAGATCATCACCAAAGGCGGACCCTGTAATTCAAGTAGGGCAACAAATATTCACCCACCGGATCAAGGTCAAATGACAAGGTTTTGACCCAAAACAACATCCAGGCCCACATGTAACAAACCATTGGGCTCTCGTTAGAATAAATGATGTCCACGTCCAACAACATTGAAAGCTTTTAAGTAAGGGAAGCCCGTTGATTTTTCATTCGTCCAATATTCATTCAATCAACTACAAAATCTAGAGGTTTTGTTTTTTAATTAATTTTTTATACATTGATAATGTAATGATTTTTTTGATACTAAGTCATCATGAATGTACGTCACATATACATGATTTAAATTTCTAATTTGAATTTATATTATATGACATGATCTAAACTTATTAGTGTAAAAAAAAATTATACACTAACAGTGTATAAAAAAACTTGAATTTATACTATATGACACGATCTAAACTTGCTAGTGTTAAAAAAAAAATTATACACTAACAGTGTATAACAAAAAACTTACTCTTTCCTTTTTAGGTAGCTCCCGTCTAATTTCAAACATTACACTTTTCTCTTTTAGTTATTTAAATGACTACCATACTCTTAATATTATTCTATACTTAATAACAAAAATTCAAAATAAAAATAAAAAGAAAATAAAAAGCCACTTATGCTTCCCAATTTCTAGTTTCCTCATTCCCTCTTCCATTTCAAACCTTATTGACCAATGCCTCAAAATCTCTCTGTCAAGTCTCCAACATCTTCCGTTTAAATTAGTGTCATCACCACTACCATCAATAATTTTTTAGCACAATTATGCAATTACCTTCCTAAACTACCACCTTTTTTTCTCCCTCTCTTTCAATTTTTTTCCTCCCAAAAACATTAAGTTGACAGCTTTTAATTTCAATTATCACAAATCAAAAGCAAGGCAGGGTTTAAAAGTTGAAGATTAGATAGAAGAGTGACTCATCCATCTTAGAGAATCTAGTTTTTACGTTTTAAGTAAAACTGATTTC